TAATCTATTATCACAATAAAATTTGAATAAGAATTTTTGCTAGCTGAAAATGGCAACACTGCCTAAAATCTCGGAGCTTGGTTGTATTCGTCTAGGAACGCCCACCTGAATCATTTTATCTTTGTTAAGATAACCAGATAAAGAAGGATGCAAATGTTTCCAGAGCAAGCCCGACCATAATCGCGAATGCGCTCTAGTATTCATAGTAAGAAATGTCGAACGGGTTTTATTTGTAATTGACCTTTTGTTTGGACGCCATATTGCGGTGCGCGAACATAGTTGCCAAAAGTGGAAAAAAAAAATTACTAGGGTACTGTCAACATTAAAAACAAAAGTTACTGAATAAATTACCTTTAAAATTTAAATTTGCCGCCTATTAAGAATGTTTTTGAAAAGAAAAGTAAACAAACAAAAAGGATAGCAAGGATCAATCATTTAGTTACTTTTGTTTTTAATGTTGACAGCCCGCTAGTAATTTTTGTTTTCTTCTTTTGGCAACTATGTTCGCGCACCGCAATATGGCGTCCAAACAAAAGGTCAATTGGCTTGCATTGTCCGCAATCTTATCCCCACTTCATGTAGTTCATTCATTAATCCACAATTGTCGTTTAGGATTGTTGGCCGCAGAAACCAAACGATTTTATGAATGACTTGCCCTCTCTATTTATGTAGTGTTACTCTGAGATACATACTTTATGCCTAGTATTTTCGCTTTTTTATAATTAAATGTGGCAACATCCCACATTTACGTCCGAATTCCTTCCGTAGACTCAGAACCGCTGGGCAAACAATAGTTCGGCTATTGAACACTCTCAGGTATCAAATTTCAAAGATAAAACAAAATTTGTTGTTATGTGAGCACCTGCCCCCCATTTTGTCCGTTGTCATGACATCTCGTCAACGTCATAAGGTTTTCTGTCCTTCTCAGGTCACACGTGTTTGTCATCAGAGTCGTGACTCCTCTGTTCAAGGGGTACGCAATCCGTGAGGTTTGACCCGGGCGAATAGAGAGTCTTCGTCTTTTGATAATGGAGGCCTTCCCTAGAGACTCGACCCCTTCCCAAAGGGGTCTAGGGAAACAATTTAAAATATCGAGAATATCTCACCAAATATTCCTTCAGATGTCATTACCATTGATAAGGATGAATTGGACTTGAATGCAGACATCTTGAAATGTATCGGGGCAGATCACACACAAAAGTCTGTGGCTGGTCCTAAACTTCATGGGTTTTAAGCACAGCGGTGAGATTATACTTTATCTAAGGGGTTAGAGAAAGAGGAGCGTTAGTTTTTGCTCCAAAATTATCTTATACCCGAAAATCTCCCCAACTTAAAACCCACAATGCTTAATACCGACATTTTACCAATTGTACCCTCCCTAACACAGAAAAATGACAAATATTTTTCTCAAAATCAGTGCCAGCTTAGTATAGGCATTTCTGCGTTAGCGGGACTTAAAATACCATTCTTATCAGAATCATTGCAATCATTTTCTCCAAGGGTTCAACTGCTGTTAGCTGACGAGCTGATTCTAAATTCTCTTATTCAGAATATGTAATAATGGAGTGATAGAGGAATGTCAACCAGTATCTGGACAATTCATCTCCTCATTCTTTTTTACCACCAAAAGCAATGGTGCTTCAAAAAGATTTATTCTTGATGATGTATATATTTCTCTTCATTCTGGTCATTACACATGGGAACAATTGACCTAAAAGATGCTTATTATGCAGTCCCCATTCACCCTGATGATCGTAAGTATCTAAGATTTCCATTCAAAAATCAATAAATGCAATTTTGTTGTCTGCCATTCGGCCTCTTTATTGCACCTTTCATCTTTACAAAAATCATGAAGCCGGTGCTGTTAGGTAATATATCTAGATTATTGTCTTGTCTTCGGGAAGTCAAAAGAACAATGTGAATATAACCTTAATTTGGTTATATCTCTTCTTGATTCATTAGGTTTTACAATAAATTATGGTAAAAGTGTTTTAGAGGTGCCTCCACCAAATGTAGATTTTTAGGATTTCTTTTGAATAGTGGCAACATGACTCTTAGAAGTCTTAGGACTTCCTCGGCAAAAAAGATTTAAATTTGTCAGCTTAATAAAGGATACAAAATCTAAAAGCACAATAAGAATTAGAGAATTTGCCATGCCAGGCTTATTGGTTCATTGGTGTCAGCTTGTCCAGCCATCAGGCATCAAGTAGGTATGACAAAATCCCTAGAAAAATAGAAAAATGTTGCGCTTTTGCATAATAATCAGAATTATAACGCTCTCACGTCTATATATAAGAAATGTATTGAATAATTTGATTGGTCGGAAAGAAATATATTGTACGTATATAACAATATACGTGAAGACCATCATGATCTGCTTATATGCTAAGGGCGTGAATGACAAATGGGGGGCAGGTGCTTACATAGCAACAAATTTTGTTTTATCTGTGAAATCTGTGAGCTGAAAGTGTACGATAGCCGGACTACTAGTTATCAATAATTAGTGATCTCTTCGAACGAAGTGTTTCATATAATTACGACCGAACTTCACAGGTAAGTTCGTTTGATCGGTCAACTGAAAATCAGGTGACCTTTAATACAATTTGTGATTGGTTGAATAGACTTTGCTAGAACCAAGCAAGAGTAATAGTCAAAATTTGAACTTTTATCAACTCAATTGGTGAGTTTTTGCAAATACTTATCTAATACTAAATACTTAAATAAACTATTCTAAAGTCCGAAAAATACCATTTTAAAGTCACGTGATATTGGGGGCAAAAAACGTATGTCCATTGATTATGTCGTTGATATCACCTTCAAAAAGCTACTGGTGGTTAATATTGAATTTTAAGATAGGTACCTATGTTCCCACTAGCATTTCACAAACGCGTTTCTATATGTATATATATATATATATATATATATATATATATATATATATATATATATATATATATATATATATATATATATATATATATAATTCCAAAAATGCGCTTCTACTATCTTCAAATGAGTCTGTTGAGGATATAAAATACAAAATAAGATCAAAACAATTTTGAGGTCTATAAACCTAGCATTCCCAAAGTGGAAAAAAACTTCGGGAACTATATAATAATTAGGTGCTTTTTAGGGCCTCTAATTAAAAATTAGGTGCTCCTTTAGTTTTTGAGAAAATCAAAAAAAACTAAGGTACTGCTAGGCTTATAAAAGCTAATTTTTTCTTCAACTAATAATAAATAGTGTAAAACCTTAATATAACCATAAATAAAAAAATATATATCAACAAAAATAGACCTACAATAAATAAAGAAATAATATAAAATATCAAAAACAATCACAATAAATATAGGTACATAAATGATAACTATTTAGGAGCACTTAAATAGCACCTAATTCTGATACAAAAGAAATTTTTGGAAAAATATTTTTCACTATAGGGGACTACTAGCTTTCATAAACCTAGCAATCCCTTAATTTTTTTTGATTTTCTCAAAAACTAGAGGAGCACCTAATTTTTAATTAGAGGCCCTAATTAGCACCTAAAAAGCACCTGATTATTATATAGATCCCGAAGTTTTTTTGACATTCTGACATACCAACAAGTAAACGTAAAGCCAGCAGTCCCCTTATAATTAAAAAAAATCTATAACTCAGGTAATAATTAATCAATTCTATTTTTTCTTGGACTATTTAGGAGCACCTAAAAAGCACCTAATTCTGATACAAAGAAAAAATTTGAAAAAATTATTTTTACTATAGGGGGCTGCTAGCTTTTATAAACTTAAAAGTCCCATAGTTTTTTTTGATTTTCTCAAAAACTAAAGGAGCACCTAATTTTTAATTAGAGGCCCTAATTAGCACCTAAAAAGCACCTAATTATTATATAGTTCCCGATTTTTTTTTCCACCTTGGGACTGCTAGGTTTATAGACCTCAAAATTAAGCATTTTAACTTCATGGCGCTCTAGATTAAAAAGTAAAGAATTAAATAATTTGGAGATGAAATGTCAAAAAGTAACAAATGAGGTATCATTGTACTCGTAATGTAGTTTTTTAGTGAAATAAGGAGAAATATACCTGGCGTCTCATTTAAAATAAGAAAGTTTCGGTCACTTCCGGTCAAACCGGAAGTGATATAAATAATTGGATACATCAAATAATGCACATCCGGGTCATAAATAAACACACCAAATTTCATTTGTTTACTTGGAAAAATAAAAAAGTTATAGGGGTGAGCGTGTTTTCAGAAACACCCGGTATAATTACCTATTGCTATCTCAGTAGAATCTTGTCTTTTGTTTTTCGAAAAACACAAGAGCCGGGAATAGATGAAAATTGTGCGGGAAAAAATTGGGATTAAAAAAAAGCAATTCAAGAGAAATTGAGAAAAAATTGGTACACAAGTAGACACAAAGTATTTTGTTTCTCTTCTAAGCTCTTGAATTTTTTCTATTTAGAATAAGTTCAGAAGAAATCGAAAATTCAAGAGCCGGAAATAGATAAAAGTTGAAACGGAAAAATTGCGAAATAGAAGAAATTCAAGAGAAAAGAGGACATTCATCTCATGTTTCTTCTGATACAGACTCTTGAATTTTTTTTTTTATTTCGACAAATTCAAGAGCCGGTAATAGACAAAAATTGAGAAATAGAAAGGAAAAAGTTGAGAGATATTCAGAAAAAAAAATGCTAGACATGTACACACAAAGTATTTTCTTCCAAAAACCGAGTACTGTACACATACAAAATTAAACTATGGCAATGATTTGACTGCAACCATGTTAAATCAATTGATCTCTCTTCAGCAAATTGTAGCCAGTCGGCAAAATAAAGATGCATTCTAAAGTATTATAATTCCACAGCGAATATAATCCATTCGACCTCGTATAAGTTCTCGGTCGTTTGCCTTGCCTCTCTTCTCTCCCTACCAAAAGTTCCAAATAACGTTCGTCGTGTATCTAGTACGCAATCGTGAGCGTCCAACGATCATTTTGCGAACGTGCTCGTTACACTTCGCTTCGGTCAGTTCACTGGGTTGGGTTCGTCTATTTACCTACTGTGTGCATTCAAGAGGAACGTCGTCATGAATTGGCAGTCGGCGAAAGTTTTAAGTCTGATAGAATTATATAAAACTTCGCGAGTTTTGTGGGATTCAAAAAATGCCGACTATTATAAGAAAAATGTGAAAGACGAAGCTTGGACATTGATCAGTAGTGTCATTGACGAACCGGTGGAAACTTGCAAGAGTAAAATTATGAGTTTGTTGGCTTCGTATAGACGAGAAAAAGGCAAAGTGAGACAGACAAGTACCAGTGCAGACGGTAAGTAACTTTTACATTCAGACAAAATAAATGGTGATTTTTTGTTGTTAGGTGGTTATAAAAGCCGATGGTTTGCTTATGAAGCCCTCAAATTTTTGGAGGAACGTGAAACTTCTAAAAAAAAAGACGGCAGCGACAATGCGGTAAGAAGTTGAACGTCACACATTATTAGATTAGCAAAATAAGAGTTTCAATTTTAAGAATCCCGAAGACGAAGGCAGTAATTCTCAAATACCTGACGACCTATTGACTGATTCCGATTTACTTTTGGTCAAATCTGAGCCGTGGTTCGAAACGGAAGACGAAGAAGTTGTCATAAGCGAGTCGTCCGAAAACAGACCGGTGGAGAGTAGTACTAGGAGTAGAAAACGGACGAAACGCGACGATCAATCGCTTGAAGATGAATGTTATCATTTCGGTCAGTTTTTAGCTTCCAAGCTGCGCAGTTACGATACGTCTACACGATGCGCTATACAAACAGATATTATGAATATTTTACAAAGGGTTGATTCAGGAAATAATATGTGAGACAAAAATCAATTGTTTTTTTATTGTATTTAGGCTAGATATAGGTAGTTTTGAATTGTTTCTAATAAACCATTTCGAAATTTTAGTATTGGTTTTGCCTTCAACATGTAACATTTTATCATTTTTCACGTGGACTTAATTTAAGTAGGTTTTCTAGATCTCTTCAAACAGATTATAGGCGAAATGTTAGATGCAGTACATCTGAAGTTTTCTGATTATCAGAAAAGGAGAATATTTTGCAAATGGGTTTTGGGAAAAAGGTGTATTACCATAATATGGAGTAGATTTTGCAAGAATAGATTCTTCAATATCTCTATATACTCTGTTTTTTAATTAGATAATTATGTCAAAATGCATTTAATACAGTTATAGTATTTTTAATACCTATTTAGAAGTACCTGTCGTTTTAGTGACAAAACGTATGTCGCTCCTCGACACACAAATAAAATTAGGTTAGGAATTTCCTATTTTCCATAATAACTCTTTTCCGTTTTTCTAGATGTCGCTAACAACCACAGAATTGTCAAAATTGGAAAATACCAGCACATCAAGAACACGTCCGATGTCGATAACTGACATGTCAACATATGACAATATGCCAAAATATTCATTTGATCATAACTAATAATTCATAATGTTTTTCGTTTGCCGGTCTTGCATTTCATCTTTCTTTGTGTTGTCAAGAAGTGTTCTTAAGTGTTTTGTGTATTTCAAGAGTTCTTCTTCAAACTTTATTGATTGGAAGATCTATTTTTATCTTTGTTGATTAGATAAATGACAGGTTCAATTGACGTTTTCAATTAAAAGAGATGAACGATAAGTATGAAAACATTCATTTTCCCGCCAAAATTTGCTTGCTTGTCAATGTCAATGTGTATTGGGTGTTTAGCAATCCCCTCATTTTTATTCGAATCGGTGACTTCACCAATGAGTTAGCTACCTTTGTTAAGTGAATGGAAAATGATAATCACCGACATAGAATGATGGATCCATCGGTAAAATTTTATAATAAAAACACAGGGTTTGAAATTGGAAAGAAAATGTGGGAAAAGTCACTGCTTCATTCGCAGAACTTCGCTATGAAGCCGGGGTGGATTATTTTGGAGGCAAACAGCTTCTGAAAACTAAACTTGAACATGGATTACTTTGTATACTTGATGAGCCGTGGATTTCCCTTTCTTTTGCGAGTATCCTTTCTGCATTCTGATTTTGTGTATCCAAGTTTTAACAAATATAGGATTTGATGGAAACTTATGGAAAAACACATCCGCCGGTGAATAGGAATAAATAAGAATTCGTTTTATGTATAGGCACACTACACACAATCACCATTGTTAAAAAAAAACCTTAAAAAACCCGAGGAAATAATAGTTTCTTTCAAAAGTCTTGTCTACAAACCACTGTCAACGGCTGTCAACCATTGTTTTCATACTCTTTTGGCGTCTGACAGTTTGATGCCAGAGAGAGAGGCTTTTAAATTGAAAAGGTCAATTAAACATCAATCAGAACTTTGAATAAATATGTTAAGGATCCCTTAACCATCGATAAAGGAACTGTCTTTTGATCTAATTAACAAATTATCAATTAATTTAAGCAAACATTAATGCCCCAAAGTCTAGAATAAACCAATTTGAACAGACCGACAGTAATGTGAACGGGGCGCCATCTATCACAAAAAGTTCTATGTAAAGTAGGTGTCTCTAGCATGGATGCAATAGCAGTAAATAGTGATTTTCCGATGTGGTAGATAGCGCTGGCTTGGCTCAATTTTGTTGACAACAAAACTTACACTGAGATTCCATTCTCGACAGTTTATATAGTATTTATCTCTGTTGTAGATGAAATTGACGTATTAGCAATCGACGTTCGTCTTTGTTGGTAATTTTTTGTTTCGATTCGTGATTGATAAATAAGGACGAGGTTATTCCAAATGGGTATTACAAATACTATAGTTCATTGGCGTTCCTACTTTATATGTATAACAAGAAATGCCAGCCTCGAACCAGCTCAGCAGAGTGAGGCTAGATTTGAATATTATTTGAAAGTGTGCATACCTTTAGGATATTGTGACCCTTTTGGAGCAGGGCTGGAAAGATACTGTCCTTTCCTTTGAATTATAAGCAGGGGCGGATTTTTTAGAACCAAATATATTGGAGTCGGCTCAACCAAAAATAGATAAATTATATATTTTTGGAATCAGAAAATTGTGCTCTTCAAGAATATAGAACCAAATATAGGGCATTCCATTTAAAAAAAGCTGAAAGCATGCAACATTTCACATTTCTGACAATTTTTGTTTCTGACCATGGATTCTAAAAATTTAGCCAATACTGTACAACTTTTGCATTCACACCTTTCATCTACCTATAAAGGGGAAGGCTGTAGGTAAGGTGTCAATACATAAAAAAAACACCCTGTACTTGAACAATAACTTATTATATAAAGTCAGAATTTGTAAGATTATCCACTTTTTGTCAATTTGCCTTTCAACAGGAATTAGTAATAATGTTACTTTACCAAACTAATAACATAATGTGACAAGTTATTCAAGTACAAATGAGTAAATTGTTGCGGAACTTATGGGTGAACCTCTGCGGGACGAGCGCAGCGAGTTCCGCAGCCATCTATGTATCAATATGTTGTTTAATTACGATACTAAACTGACTCACTTAAATGTGCGTTATTCTCATTAGTTTAAAAATTACACGTTCCAGGTGAATGTCTTACTTGAACAGTTCAACAGTATAATGGTGATTAGATGGCTGCGGAACTCGCTGCGCTCGTCCCGCAGAGGTCCACCCATAGGTTCCGCAATAATCCACTTATTTGTACTTGAAAAATAGTTTAGGTATTATATAAAGTCAAAATTTGTAAGATTATCCACTTTTTGTCAATTCGCCTTTCAACAGGAATTAGTAATGTTACTTTACCAAACTAGTAATATATTGTGACAAGTTATTCCAGTACAAACAAGTGGATTGTTGCGGAACTTATGGGTGGACCTAGCCATCTATTCACCAATATGTTGTTCAAGTATGATACTAAACTGACTCACTCAAATATGAGTTATTCTTATTAGTTTAAAAAGTACACGTTTCAGGTGAGTATCTTATTTGAACATTTCAAGAGTATATTGGTGAGTAGATGGCTGCGGAACTCGCTACGCTCGTCCCGCAGAGGTCCACCCATAAGTTCCGCAACAATTCACTTATTTGTACTTGAACATTAACTTATTATATAAAGTCAGAATTTGTAAGATTATCCACTTTTTGTCAATTTGTCTTTTAACAGGAATTAGTAATGTTAATTCACCAAACTAGTAATATATTGTGACAAGTTATTCAAGTACGAACAGGTAGATTGTTGCGGAACTTATGGGTGAACCCAGCCATCTATTCACCAATATGTTATTCAAGTAAAGTACAATACTAACCTGATTCACTCAGTTGTGGATTTTTTGACCAGTTCAACAATATATTGGTGAGTAGATGGCTGCGGAACTCGCTCCGCTTGTCCCGCAGAGGTCCACCCATAAGTTCCGCAATAATCCACTTATTTGTTCAGGGTGTTTTTTTATCAATTACACCCCGCCTTTACCTTCACAGGTAGAAGAAAGGTGTAAATACAAAAGTTGTACAGTTTTGGCTGATTTTTTAGAAACCCTGGTCAGAAACAAAATTTGAATGTCAGAAATTTGAAATTTTGCATGCTTCCAGCTTTTTTCAAATGGTATGCCCTATGCCCTATATGCCCCATTCTATATTCTTGAAGAGCACAATGCACCGATCTATATTTGATTGAGCAATCTCTCATATATTTGGCTCCAGAAATTGTAAAAGTACTATCCTACTACTGATTTTGTGAACCATATATTCTACCTGTACAGGTGAAAGCTGTAGGTAAAATTTGAGGTACTTGGTTTCTCTGATAGTATTTTTAAAATTTTTAGAACCAAATATATTGGAGACGGCTCAACCAAATATAGACAAACTATTTAGTTTTGGAATCGGGAAATTGTGTTCTTCAAGAATATAGAACCAAATATAGCGCAACTCATTTGAAAGAATCTGAAAGCATGCAATATTCCACATTTCTGACATTCAATTTTTGTTTTTGACCATGGATTTTAAAAATTTAGCCAATACTGTGTACAACTTTTTTTACACCTTTCATCATTTACCTGTAAAGGTTAAGGCTGTAGGTGGGGCGTCAATACATAAAAAAACTCCCTGTACATAATCTTATTGATTTTGTATGAATATTTATTTATTAGAACAAAAAAAAAACACTACATCAACTCAACCACTAATGATATACTGTTTGAGGTTAAAGTTCTTGGGACAAAGACAAAATTGTGATTTTTTTATAGGTTTCCAGCTTTCTAAACATTCTTAAAACCTAAAATATGGTTTTGTTTTCTTTTTCTTAAATTTTATTACATATTTTATTTCAAAAAGGCCGCCCCACTGTATCCGCCACTGATTATAAGGAGAAAATCTCACCTCTATGTAGTATTTGATACACTAAAGGCAAGACATTTGCAAAGTTCGGAACTAGTGTAGTACATTATACCAAAATGAAACAGGATATGAAAAAAACACGATTTACAGAATTCTTAGAGACTTAGGGAGTGGAATACAAAAGCTTTATGGTTAAAACTAACAGGGAACGATTTTGTTTTGACTTCTAAATTTATAGGTTTTTAAACCGATAGAGAATAATATTTTAATGTACATCGTAAAGTTAAAGTTTCTGGAGTGTGACAAATTTTCCCATAAATCCTATGTATAGGATAATTTGATGGCGTTATGCCAACAATTTGGATGTTTATATCTATAACCGTTCGAAAAAGTTGTAAATTTGGATTTTCACTGAATTACACCTTCTCTATCGATTTGTGAACTAAAAAATTTTAAAAAAAATGTAATACAGAAGCCCTGTCGTTTTTTACGATGTCTCAATTCAAAATTGTCTGTTTTTTTGTTATCTACTCGATAATAACTCGGCAACCAAATCAATTCCTTTTGAATTTTCCCTACTTCGACAAATTCAAGATCCGGGAATAAATACAAATTGAGATATAAT